TAAATATAGATTACAAGATATGTAGCAGCTAAAATAATTTTATTTTCAATTTTTTAATATAAAAAATTAACATTTTTAAATTTTCAAAATTATTAATTCTGTCAAAGGATTCATGCATTGTCTCCAACTTTATATAAGTGTGCAAAATTTCAGATCAATTGGAGTGGTAGAAGTGTGTTAAACATTGATTATAAGATTTGTAGCAGATAAACAGAGAAACAAACAACAAGAAGTGATGTTAAAGAGAAGTGTTGTAGAAAAGAGTTCAAGATAGCTATAATACATATATATGCTGCAAATAGGGAAAATATTAGCACTAATAAATTATTGAATATTTTAAATGATATTATCAGGACTTGAGCCCAAATTAAGCTACCTGCACAACATACAGTGAAATGGGTTGACTTCAGGGTTGGCAATGATTAAATCATGTGATTAAATCACTTCAATTTACAACAAAACTCTTTCACATGAACAAAGTCAAATAGAATGCATGCAAAGGCCAAAATTTTGAATCTGGATGATCTCATTTTTCCAATCTACACAATTTGGAGTCAAATACGGACAAGTTCTCTGGTCAATGTTACCCCTGCTGCTTGGGTAACATTGACTGCTCAAACTGAAAAGCCCAGAAATTTCACCCATCCTTGTCTTGAATTCAGCATCCAAAATGAGCACCAATATGTGATAACAGGCAAAGTGTAGATTTTGCTCTTATTTCTGTTAAATTAGGACACAGGCTCTGGTTTGGTAACAAGAGTTTGCAGTGCATCAAAATACATAGCATGTGTGGATTCTGCAAAATTTCATTTCAACAAGCTGGCTACCACAGTAGACAGGGTATTCTAACCTTTTTCAAATTTATACTTTGGCAGAGAAAGAACTTTTTCCATTCACTGCCAGGAACAAGTATGGGTATCTGAGCTACATGTTCTTAGCTGGTCAAATTGTCCAACAGCTAACATTGCAGTGGATCACCAGAAGTGCATTCCCTTCATATTTGTGCTTGCTGAATGAAGCAAACGGTGCATAACAAGGCTTTCTTTGACAGTTGATCAAGCGCCACTGGAAGTAAATGTCAGTAACATTGTAATTGCAGCACTATGATCTAGAATCTAGGCAAGATCAAGGGCTGCTGCAAGCTTTGCAGTAACTATGTAGCTGAAGGCTTGCTTTGCACTGGATCTGTCATGGGTGAATGCTGTAATCAGTGGCAGAGGTTCACCTTAACTTATTTAGTCCATCTCTACTATAACGCCATTTCTTTTCTCCTCTCAGGGGTCTTTTCTGAAAGGCCAGGACTTTCAGAAAAGACTTGACTGTCAAGTCTTCCAGTTTTTCTCATGATTTCTTCCTTTCCTTGGCAGCCAGTGCCATGACTTTACTAAAAATAGAGCCATTTTGTCCCTCATCTCACCACCTGAGAAGAGATTCATTGGTTTCTTTATTTCTTACAGGTACCATTCCTTACATTCCGATGCACAATATCAAAAAAAAATTTTATTTGGATGCACAATATCATTCTCATCATCCATGAGACACCACCACTCTTCAAACAATGTTAAAAGGTGCTGTTCCTACTTGGTGTTTTTTAGCCAATAGCCAAAAAACTAAGGACCAGGGCAAAGAGGGCAGCTTCCTTAATGTCTTATACATAAGTCTATTATGGTTGTGCAACAAATAAGCTATAATGAGAGCAGTTACTTGTATTAGTTGTATTATTGTACTGTATATATTCATAGGTGGTGACATAGGAATGAGCAGCAAATGTTGAACCCAAAGAATAATTTGATTATTTACACATTCAAAATATTCATGGACTATAATCATATATTCTTTGTTAATTGCAGAAAATAGGTTCCAAGGCTGGCAATAATAACTGGATTTCCTACTACTGTAAGAAAACCATATTTATTGTAATCATTTCATGTGTACATAATAGCATTTAAACTCTGAATAAACTGTTTATAATGTTTGATCTTGGTATAAGCTTTTTAAAATGGAACATTTTAGGAGACATGGCATCCATTGGAGGTGAAAATATGAACCAAGTTCAACACAAAACTGCCATCTCAAAGATAAATGATTTGGCCAAAAAATGCCTTTATAGTTCATATTTAACCAATTCTGTCTGTTCCTTTGGCTTTCCCCCAATTTCAAGAAAAACATCCTATTTTTACCAGCAATTTCAAAAATTACTTCAGGAAAAATAATTTATAACCACAATTGTAGGAAAAGCATAAGACTCAACAGTTAAATTAGGTGGACTCATAAGTAAGATAACATCTATTATGCACACTAATACACATGTGTGTACAATTAATGACCAGAGAATGCATTACAATTTTCAAGAAGTCAAACAATTTTTTAGACGACATTGGTAGGTCAAATGGCTGGTTTAGCAAGTAATAATAATATATTAATGAAGTTTCACATGTAGCAACATTCATTTTCAAGTTAAGAGAAGCATTGAATAATGAAATTTTCTTGGACATAAATTCATAACACACTTAAATAGGATTCAACACAAAAATTTCAAGCCAGAAAGCCCCTAGCTCAGCATACAATTTCAAAGTTTAGACAAATCCAGTAGTTTGGAAATAGATAGCCAAGGACCAATTCAAAGCAGTGAGAGTTCCAGCAATTTTTGGTTGGTTAAAGTTGTACACCTCTCAATGACCTCTGCGTGATGCTGGTAGGTTTTTCCAGCATGGTGCAAGTGATGGTCTTGTGTGATTGTCTCAGTGGGTTTCTCTGCCCTCTTGGTGAGAAGATGGCAGGTGGGACAGTCTCAATGTCATGATTATTAGTTCAATTACTCCAATGTAGTCCAAAATCCAAATGATGAATAAGTCTTCAACCTACTTTGAAGCAAAATTTATAGACTACATTGGCCTCTCGTAGAACTGCTTTTTGGCATTGGAGTTCTCTGGAGAACTGCTTTTGGTTGGTATTGGTGAAATTGTGAGAATTTTTTGCAAAAGTTGCTATAATTTTTTGTTATTTTAGCACATATTCATTGCAAAAATTTGTCAGCTATAGATAAACAACTAGTAAATATAATTAAGGCATTGCCAACCCTGTATCAGATCCGAACCATGACAGTTTCTGTTTAGCTCAGTGTATCAATTGTCACTGTGGTGAAAGGTGTAATGTGGTAGGCTTTTTGATACATTTTCTTAAATGAACATGAGAATATATTACCTACACAGAATTTCACACTGCTGACTGTGTTTGTGTGAAATACAATAAATTGATCAGTCACCCATGTTGAATCTGTGCAGGTGGCTCCTGACACTGGAATACCTATCCAATGTTTACATTTTTTTGGTGGGAACTCATCGCAGCTGATTTCCAGACAAGCTTCACTGCATACTGATCAATCCAACATACCGGAAACCTTACTTTTTTTAAATAGTTGGCTGAAGACTGACAAATATATTAAATGAAAGAATTTCAATCTAACTGTGTCAGCAAGATCTTCTGAGGGCATCAATTTTGCTACTGAAGCGTCACCAAAGATCTTGCAACATAGTGACAAACCACAGATTTTTTAGAATCAGTTCATTTTTAATTTCCTCAAGATTTAAACCAATTTCTTATGTATGATAGTGCTGGTATCCAGGATACTTTACTGGTCTACTTATAGTTATAGGACTCAAAAATGAACTTGAGGGAGAGTCTAAATCTTGCATTTAATATATTTCTCAGTCTTCAGCCAACTATTTAGAAAAAAAGTAAGGTTTCCGGTACGTTGGATGGATTACGATGCAGCGAAGCTTGTCCGGAAATCAGTTGCGATGAGTTTCCGCAAAAAATGTAAACAACATTTTTTCGATTGCGTAGTTTTGGTCGCATTAGAGCGGTCAGACTTCTTTGTTACTTGTTCAGTTGACACTTGCTGTACAACCGGACTGTTTTTAGGGTAAAATTAGTTATTTGGGGTAACACGTGCATGCAACCTTGTAATAAGTTCGTGGCTTGTAAATAGTTCGTCATTACTCAGCGTAAATGGCTTTTCATTAAAAATTACCCGGCGACGCATCTTTAAAATGGCCGGCGACGCTTTGGGCTTAAAAATCCATATATTGCCAAGTTGCCAACGCTGCATCCACCCTCTGCATAGTGGCTGATGATACCTCCACTTTCAGTCCATCATCATCACTGACAAATATCTGCAAGCTGCCACAGGGGTTTCATTGGAAAAACAGCTTACTTCATCACAGTAACAAGGATCCAAATCCAATCAACAGTTGAAGGCATCCAACGTCACAGTCACATGATTCATGAATGATTGAATCCAATCATCGCTAGAATGTATGCAACTTTGCAACATCATGTTCACAAGAATCCAATTAGCATCAGAACATGTGCAACTTCACAGCCACTGGAATCCAATCAGCCTTAGAAAGCTAGAATGGCCGCCCCAGCCCCCAAATGCACACAATGTTAATGCACTGATGCTAATTTAATCATTTAATGTGTAATGCTACACTTCTTATTTCAAGTGCGTAGGTAATACAATATGTAGTTATGTCACTATTGATGGAAATCTCAAAGAATAACATCTTCACTATGTACATTCACTCACAAATACCTACCTACATGAAAAACTACCTAGGTACGATTCAATCCACAATAATTACAAATAGGTACAAAACTTTGTAGATTGAATTTAAATTCCTGATTTGAAATACAAAACAAACAAATTGGCTCTTGGGCCAATTGCCCCAGGCCCATTTTAACACCATAAAATAGTATTTCATTAAAAATTGAATAACTCTATAGGCGATTAGGAGTCTAATCCACATCATACATTCCTCATTAGGCCTAGTTGTAACTTTAAACAAAACAAAGAACTACCTCGTTGCAATTGAAACTTTATCAAAAATTTAATTTAAAAATGGGAGGGTGAAGATAATAAAATAATATTCTATATTGACAGTGATTTGACACTAATTATAAAGAACACTATTCCAAATGCACTCATACGGTCATACCTGAGAATAGTCTACTGCAGCCTCTAGTCTCTACACTAGTTCAGTCAACCTCAGAAGTCAGACACAAAGTGCCGATATAAGCACATTAACTTATCAGTGTTGCCAGATGGCAGGCCTTAGGACTGGCTAAGCCTTAGGAAAGGAATACATTACGAAATTGTTGTCCGCACGAGTGAGGAAAAAATGTTACACATCCTCTTTCTCAAGCCGAGTTCTCACTAGAACTTGGATACCTAGAATACACGTCCGCAAGAAAGTTCTTAGAACCCTTAACATACTATATGTGGATAGAATAATCTTGCAATTACAAAGCTCAGCGCATTCTAACAGATGTAAGACAATTTTTCATTTAACCACATCGGTGGGGAGTGATCAGTTCATACGATGAATTTACTACCGTATAAAATATAAATGATCGTGAGATTTTTCAATGATTTTTAATAGCTAACATTCTAATTCTATTGTCAAGTTCAACTATTGAATGATCAACTCAAAATTGTCTGCTCAGTCAAAAATTCGTCGGAAAAAGGATGTGCTTGACTTATAATGGAGCCTTCTATAGTGAAACTGTGCTGATTTTCAGAATTTAAATTCCAGCAAAATAGAAATGGAGTAATCATTGATTAGTTTATTGCACTGTTTCTAATCTTTCGTAATTGCTCTACAAAAGATTTATATTATATTCTTGTTTTAGTTATTCGGCCCATATTGTTTTAGTGTACGATTCACATCACCATTCCCTCAAAGCTGTGATTAAAATTGAAACATTAATTTATGTAATGTGTGTCAAATTCTGCTCATCCAGTTTATTTGTTAAGTTTCCATTGGTATTATTAAATAAATAATCGGACAAGTTTTGCAACAAATAATTGTTTATACAGGCTATCGCTTGAGTCATTCCATCGAATTTGTACTACATTAAAATATTAACTGAGATTCTTGCCTTTACAGTAAATGAACCCAAATCATTCGTGAATTTTATGTAGGAATCTCACGTAAAGTTACTTGTTTTTCTGAGCACTTACTTCCCAATGCAATCACATCCGAAAAAAAATTAATTGAGATATATTACGTTACATTTTTTACGCCCTTCAATTTAGCACGCCTAATTTATAAAACAATCTTGATCCTTAATGCGTGACAGGGTTACAATCACATTGAAGTGTATCCAATTTCAGGATTTATTTACATGCGACGTTAAGCGCGTATGAAAAAGTTTAAAAAATTGTTTTCAGGTCCCAGCGGCTGTGTTTAGTTCTTAATTGATGAACATTATTGAAATTTTACTCACTGCTATTTTCCAATCCGATTTGTTACATTGATAGAATAGAATAGAAATGTCGGCGTTCAAGAAATAGGCCCATGACCTGTTGCCGATTCTTGAATTTTTCGTAACTTGATTCACAAGGGATCCGGCCTTTGGAACCCGATCTTTCCATAGCTGACGATTGATTGAGATAGCTGCTGGACTTATTGCCTGGTCCGTAATTTGCTAGGCATTTTAAGACTGAACATTTGCTCCTGCATAGCTTCGTCTAGTCTGTTCTTGAATATGTTCATACTCGGAGCATCAACGATGCTATCAGGGAGGCTGTTCCACATGTCGGTGACTCGAAGCGAGAAGAAAAAATGTTGTCGCATAGATGTGTTCCAACGCTGTTTTTTTAGTTAATATCCGTGGCCCCTGGTGTTGGTTCTTGTTTCAAATTCTAGTAATCCTTCTAGGACCTTGTATAAGCCATGAGTATACTTGTATGCTTCAATGAGTTCTCCACGCAGACGTCGATAACGGATGCTTGGAAGCTTCATAATCTTTATTCTTTCCTCATAGGACTTGCCTTTCAAGCCCCGAACTATCCTTATTGCGCGTCTTTGAACACTCTCTGATAAATTTTATTTGTGTTGTAAGCGAAAGCCGAGGTAACTCAACATGAGCTTTATTCAACAAGAACGCAACATCCTGGAACAAAATAACACTACTATAAAACAGGAAAACGGTAACGTAATAATAATATATTCATATGTGAAGGTCTTACACATAACGAAACTATTTACAGATTACTTACAAGGAGAACAGTAGTTGTAGGTCTTGAACGTACAAGAGCCGAGTCAATGCTAACAATGGTCATTAGTTCTAGAGCGAAGTTATTTTTTTATTTGTTTATTGAGGATGTGGGGTTGTCCCCCATGTCCCTATGGGGCGAAGTTACTTACTAATAGGAACTATAGTACGGAATACTAGGTACATACGGGCGCTACAACAGTAATTTCATGACAATTTGTCAAAACGTGCGGCAAGAGAGTTGTTATAAATTTTAGTTCCAGAACAGAGAAGACGCGATTTATGACCGCGGTCAGTAACGCAAATGTCTCAGTCCTAAAACATGATTTGGCGCCTCGTTTTCGGAATATGAAGTTTTCGGAAAAGTGATTAGCTGATGTTTATCAGTTTTAATAATATGATGTTTTTGTTTGCTGTAACTGAAATCGAAACTTGCTTCGATGAAGTAAAGCAAAGTTCGTCATGTAACGCAAAAAATGTGCATAATATACCCGCAAAATTGACACGTGATGATATTGAAAATTATTTTGAAATGCATATTGTTATATAGGATAATTATTAAGACTTTTTGAAGTTCTCGCGATTTGGGGAAATAAATTGAGGATGTTTCCCTTCGTTCGGAATTATTACTGAAATTATAACAAGCGGAAAAAATTTGTGTATAAATCCGCCTTGATTCCTGTAACAATGCCATATAAATGTACATATATTTAGATTTAAAATTATTGTTTGGTTAGATATTAAACGGTAGAGCAATGAAATGAAACAATTTTTTTCCAATATCACATCGGGTTAATTTTTAGCAGTTGACGACGATAATTTGTGCAAGATATGAATTCGTGGTTCCTACTTCGAGCATTATAGTCGGAAATTTTACAATTATATCGAACTTAAATTGAATTAGAAAATTAATAAATCAAATTAAATTATGAAAAACGTCGATAAACATTAATAACTGATATTCAACAAAATGGTCATCGAATCAAATTAAAATAGATGAATTCATGACAGGTCAATGTTTTGAATTAAATGTTTTCATGGACCTTTCTCGTTGATAGCCCGGCCTTTACGACTATTTTGCCGTAGTAGCGCTTTTTTTTAAATTTGATTTGAAGGCTTCGGGTATGCTGGTAGTGGTAGCACACCGCCCAGCCTGAGCACAACTGGAACTTTGGTCACTCCACTTCACTTGTTGGTTCCACTTTAGTTTTTATTTAATTTTAGCACTTCCACCAGCCGGTGTGGCAGTAAATTGTAAAGAGAGAAAGGATGGATTAATTAGGCTTTGAAGAACTTTATAGCCTGTTCGCCATATTGCAGCTTAGCAAATATTGACCCAGATGACGGATGGCAGCAGTGCGTCTCCTTGTTGGGGCGTTCCCACCGCCGAGAGCTGAGATAAGATCCCATTGTAGTGAGAGGCCTTCCAGTCTTGAGCGGAATTCCCTTCGTTGGTTAGAAAATTGTGTGCAGTGCAGAATGAAATGCTCAATTGTGTCCTCCACATTACATACTGAACAGTTACTTGAATTGGCCAAGTTGAATCTTGCCAAATGAGCGTAGACACCAACATGTCCCAGGCGCAGGCGTCACACAGCGCACTCAACTGAGCGTGGCAGTACTCCGTAATCAACAAAGGCTATTTCAGATCCCAAACTTCTTTGAAAGGTCCCCTTGCCTGTTTCTTGCACGTCAGCTGCCCATTGGCGTGTCCATTCTTGTACCGTGAGAGACTTCATGGAACAGATCCACTCCTCAAAACACAGCTGTGATCTTGCTGAGCGGTTGTTAGAATGTGCCAAATTTGCTACTCTGTCTGCAACCTCATGTCCACGAACACCACTGTGGCCTCTGATCCAGCAAAACACCACCCTGTCAAGTCCCTTCACCAGCATCAGCTTCTGTATCTCATAGATAATTGTGCGGTATGAGTGTCCAGATGAGTTGGATAAAAGCTGCAGAGCACACCTTGAATCTGTCAGAATTAAGATTGACTCCTCCTTCAGAGACCCATCCTCGGTGGCAAGTTGCATGGCCTTGTGTAAAGCAAACAGCTCCGCACCAAGAACCGTGTGCTCCTGCCGGAGCAACCAACCAGTTGCCAGCTGGGTTGAAGGAACAAAAAGTCCAGCTGAAACAGACCCATCTTGAGACTTTGAGCATCAGTATAAATTTGAATATGTCTTGGATAGTGTCCCAGGAGAAAGTCACTAAAGCAATTCTGAATAAGATGATGAGGCATATTAATTAAGGGGTTGTCTTGCAAGTTGAGAAGTATCAGTTATCTTATTCAGTTTCAAAACGTGTGCAATTATGCTACGGGATCAATCAATGAATAATGCTGATTAAAAAAAATTCGTACACAGTCTTTACCATAAATTTGTAGATTGACTGGATGACTGCATACATGAAATCAACACATTTTTAAATATTCAAATGTAAAAAATTGTATAATATAACTCCTGTAATTACTCATTTGTTCTATTAAGCTGGCGTCTTCCATAAGTTTTATACTCCTGTGTAGTGTAGACTCTTGAAGTCATTAGTACATACTCAATCATGGTGCATGAGTTACCCCTCGAAAAAATTTTTTAGGAAGCGATCCAGAAAAAACATAATTTTTGAAGGGAAACTTTTAGTTACAAATTTCGTCCATTATGCAAATGAGCTGGTAAGTGGTACGTGGTAGCAGTAAAGAAAGATCAACATGCATATATGTCACATAATTTATGATAAATAATATTTTCTTTTATATTGAACAAGATATTTGAACCAACAGAGAAATTTTGACTTATTTTCTTTGAAGTTTTCGTAATTCCATGATATCTGCTTATCAATAAATTATATTATACATCAATAAATTATATATTATATATCAATAAATCAATATATTTATATAATCCGCATCAATAAATTATAACCCTTCAGAGCAAAATTTCAATAATATTGCCATACAATAAAATTCCATTGTTAAGATAGTGCTTTTTACTATTCCATATAATCAATGAAAACCAAAACGGCGCTAGCTGTAAAAACATCTTCAAGTTGTTTCATTTCGCTATAACGTACTTATTTTAGGAAAATGATTTTTCTAAAATTATTAATTAATTTTTTAAAAAATGGACATAAGAATTTCGAGAATT